GACTTTTCTATATATGGTGATTCATCACCTTTTCCTAATTCTTCTTCTGTTCCTCTTGTTCCCTCTCATGTTTTCTCTCCTAGTCCTCAAGAACAGACATTTGTTCCTCCTTCACCTACTGTTTCCTTCCCTTTAACTCACCAAAGTCCTAGTTCTAATTCGTCATCTCCAGCTTCTCCTATTGATTCTTCCACTACTTCCACTACATCGACTAATTCTGTTTCCCCTCCAAATACTGTCTCTTCACCTACTTCCACCACTACTGATCATGTTTTGCGCAGGTCTTTAAGAGAACACAATGCACCTACCTATTTGTCTAACTATATTTGTGGGGCAGTGCATTTAACTGATGTTTCTACCTCCTGATTTCTTTCACCTATCTCTCCTTCTATTATTTCTGTTAATGCACTCTCTACACCTAATCAAAACCTTTTAAATTGCCTCCCCCACATCCATGAACCTTCTAGCTATTCTCAGGCAGCATTGGACCCTGGTTGGCAGGAAGCAATGGCCAAAGAACTTGATGTCTTAAAGGCTAATGATACTTGGGAGGTTGTTCCACTACCTGTTGGAAGAAAAGCCCTACCTTGTAAATGGGTATACAAGGTAAAGCTGAAGTCTGATGGTAGTGTAGAAAGGCTTAAGGCTCGTTTGGTTATTCGTGGAGACACCCAACGAGAAGGGATTGATTTTATAGAGACGTTCTCTCCTGTCGTCAAAATGATTACCATTAGATGTATACTTGCTATTGCAGTCAAGAAAAATTATGGCCTTTATCAATTAGATGTGAACAACACTTTTCTTCATGGGGATTTACATGAGGAGGTCTATATGAAGTTTCCTGCTGCTTTAGACCCTCCTGCTCCTATCCTAGTTTGTCACCTTAAGAAATCTCTTTATGGGCTTCGTCAAGCATCTAGGCAGTGGTATGCCCGCTCGACTACTGCTCTTAATTTCAAACGTTTTACTCAATCTCTCAATGATTATTCTCTATTCTACAAAAATAGTGGTGATTCTGTTTATTTGGTGGCAGTTTATGTGGATGATATTCTGCTCACAGGCAACAATATTCAGGAACTAACTGATTTAAAGCATTTTTTGGATCAAGAGTTCAAAATTAAGGACTTGGGGAACTTATCTTATTTTCTGGGCATGGAAGTACTTCGTGAGCCTTCTAGTTTGATCCTTTGCCAACGCAAGTTAACTCTTGACCTTCTCACCGAGTTTGACTGTTTTGGTTTTTCCCCTGCCTCCTCTCCTTTGAATCCTTCCTCTAAGCTTCATGCAGGTGTTGGGCCTCCAATTTCTGATCCTCTGCTTTATCGTCGTCTCTTAGGGAAGCTCAAGTTTTTGACCCATACTCGTCCTTATATCTCTTTTGTCATCCAAGTCCTTAGTCAGTTGATGCAGGATCCTCGTGAACCTCATTTTTCTGCTGCTCATCACTGTCTTCGTTACCTTCTTCGTGACCCTGGTTTGGGCCTTTTTATGTCTACTGCTTCTTTCCTTGATTTGCTGGACTTTTGTGACTCCGATTGGGCTTTATGGCTTGATAGTCGTCGTTCCGTTAGTGGTTTCTTTATAAGTTTAGGGGGTTGTCCTGTTTCTTGGAAGTCAAAGAAATAGCCTTCCGTCTCCTTGTCTTCCGCTGAAGCCGAATACAGGTCGATTAGGCGTGTTGTTGCTGAAATCACCTAGCTTATTCGCCTTCTTGATGATCTTTCCATTATCCCTTCTTCCCGTTCCACTTCACTCAGACAGTCAGTCCACCATTCACATTGCTAGAAACCTAGTCTTTCACAAGCGTACCAAGTATGTGGAACTTGACTGCATTTTATCCGCCAACAGTTCCAAGTCGGTCTATCTCTCTTTCTTTCCTTCCTCTCACCACCAACTCGCTGATCTTTTCACCAAGCCTCTTTTTGGGCCTCTTCATCGTGGTTTGCTAGGCAAGTTGGGTTTCTTTTCCGTCCTCTCCAACTTGGGGGGGGGGGGGGTGGGGTGTTGCCGGTGAAATGTCACCGGACCTAGGTTAGTTTTCCCTTAGTATGAAGAAGGGAAGAAATGAAGAAGAAGAAGAAGACTCGGGGTTCTTTACCTAATGCATATGGTTAAAAGGGTAACAGGCTGACTTTGGGCTACACAGATATTGGGCCTAATGGGTACAAGCAGATATTCTTTGGGTTGTATATTATAGTCTAAGAACTTTCTAGAATAGCCTAATTATCAATTCTTCTTTTATTTTTGCACATGTGGGAAATGATAGTTAGTGAAACGTGTATATATATATATATATATATATATATATATATATTATTCTTCACTTGTACAAAAAGAGAATGAACAGAATACAATTCCAATTTGCCTTCTACAAAATTTCTCTCTCTAAAATCAACATACTCTGGGCATGCTTCAAACAATTTGATGATCGTTATTCAAGTTCTTATGTCTTAGGGTAGGAGAGTTAGCTTCTAAGTAATAATGTTGAACATCTTCTTCATTTATATGTTACTAGTAATTATTGTCAGTTTAGAGTATGGATTAAAACCAAAATGAGTGAATGAAATATTGCAACACTTTTTTTTTGTTAGAACTCGAATTCTAACTCGAGTCTTACATTCATCGTGAGGGGTGTAAGCACCTTATTTGAAGCGATGTCACGTGACATTTTGGTTACATGACGCATTATTTTTTCCATAAATTGACTACATCGTTTGGTAGGTAGTTGGGCAAATCAATTTTTTTATTGGGTTTACCCACTCAGTGTGTAGTCTCCATATTGGAGTCCGATTATATCTGAATTCGCACCGTTCAAGTCTTCTTTAAAGGGGAAGAGATCCTATCAATCCCACCACAACTCATGTTGGTGGGCAAATCAGTTAGGTAAGTTTGTAACGTAAAGTCCAGGTTTATTAGTCTTTGAATATTACCACATAAGCAAGTCAAACATCTCTCTTTGCTGCTTATGTGGAAAATACGAAAAATAATTAATTGAAAAATAAATTAGGGGCTCAAACCTTGGTAGATCCGATGGCGTCTCCAATCGAGCTCCTCTTGCCTGGTTATGTTCTGAATTTATTTCTTTTTTTCATAATTTGTTGTTTTGATTATGGAACTTGTGATTCCTTTATGCGCGCGGTTTATCTCTTGTTTTGAATTCTGGAATTGTTGGCGTGGTGATTCATTAAAATTAAGTTTTGTTCCTCACTATTATTTGTCAAATTAGAACATTCAATTTAGGGCTTTAAAAGAAATTAGGGCTTCATAGTTTCTCTCATACCAATGCCATGACTCCATATTGGTTAAAGACGCGAAAGAATTTTCGCCAATTTTACTAACTAAAACTAATTCAGTCATTTGTGAAACTAGATTAGTTTTAGAAAACTGGCATTCCATATGGATAGGAGTTCGGTAAATGGGCGGGTTGGGTCGGATATAGTTTGGGTCGAAAACAGGTAATGAGAAAACGGATAAATTAATTACTCGACCCAATCCATATTTAATACGGATAGAAAAGGGATAACCGGCGGATAAAAGCAAGGAGTGGCGGCCGTTATCACATGGTCATCCGGCAAAACACAGTGGATCTAGACTTGGGATAGCATTGATAGAGAGTAGTATATATTTGTAATGTTATAGCTTTGCCCAGAGTTATAAATATATTACACTCCCTAATGCTGTAATTTTGATTATGATTGTATTTAGGTTTGTCAACTGAGTTGATGACCACCGAGATAACTAGTGAGATCAAGTAGCTACTGATTTGTAATGTTCTATTTGGTGATTAATGGAAAAATTAGTTACCACAAGAAAAAAGGTGATATATTTCAGTGATTTGCCAGTTAAACTCAAAATTATTTGATATTATTTAAACATATGACGATAAACAATTATAAACAACTATATTATTATGTAAGAATAATAGATCCTATTCTGTTTTTGTTAATCCTTATTGCGTAACTAGTGAAGTTGACCGCTGACGGTACTACTTTTTCAGAAAAAGTAGATATTTTCCATAAAAAAGATTTCTTCTATTTTACTACTATGGAAATTTTGAAACATAGAGTTTTAAAAGAAAAATACAAAATGTTGTATTGGTGTTAGATACACTCGTATGCCACTGGATGAATTTTATGAAGTTATTCTTTTGAAAATTTTAAGTTAAGAACCTTATATTGTACTGACGTAGTAACATGTAATTGCCGAAAATCTTCAAAGCCATAACCTTTTATGTGTTCTTTTCTGGATAATAGCCAAAAAAGTGTATATATATATATATATATATATAAAAGATTATAATTTTTTTTGACTACTAAATATAAATAATTTATAACGCGAGCTAAAAGTGATAATAATATCCCTAAAATTGCTTCTTCACCTCAGAAAATTAATCTTGCATTTTCTACCTAGATTAGCATGACATATATGAGAGTTTAACTTATATATTTATAAAATATAGTGTCACCTAAAAGAAAGATACATGATTATTATAAAAAGTAAAAGTAGTAACCATATGACATGTTACTTGCTACACAATAGGGCTGGGCATATATCGGGTAAAACCGATAACCCTAACCATTAATTGTTCATTGGGTTATCAGTATCGGGTTATTGGGTTAAAGGTTCGGTAACGATTTAGAATTTTTTTACTATTGGGTTATCGGTTCGAGCCTCAATTTGTCAATTTTGTTAATGGGTTAACCGATAACCCAATAAGAATTAATAAATTACGACATTACCGTTAAGTATATACATATGCTAGGGCTTCAGTTCATTCTCTCCTATTCTTTCTCAGCAACTAGGGCTGCTTATCGGGGGGAATGGGCAGTTATTTACTCTTAACAGCTTGACTTATCGGTTATCGACTTTTAAATGTATTAATCCGCTAGCCACCGGATAAGATATCGGACGGATTGATATCGATTTACCTCTTATCGAACGGTTTATCGGCCTAATTCAACCTATATTGCGTGCATTAATTATTTGCTAACAGCCTAGCGTACAAATTCAGAAATCGAAATTACACATTGAGTCTACGTACAAAAATCGAAACTAAGAATGAGTTAAAAAAGTAGAACGCATATGTAAATTGTACGCACAATACATCCCAAACCCAAAGTAGAGTATTAAAATGAACACATTTGTAATTTGGCATTTCTCATACATTGTAGGCTAACACGCAATTGTCGAGTGTTATTGCCATGAAACTGTTTTCTTCAACTGTTCCTATGCTACATTGTCCAGTTCCATCTCTACTTCTTCTCCTATTTCAATTACATGAAAAACACAAGAGAAATCATCAGGATTAAAAACCTAAAAACAGCAGGAAAACTGTCAATAATAGAAACTAGAAGGAAGAAAAAAGCATTATACAGTGCTTCTGCATTCTGCTTCAACTTAATGGTATTTAATGAAAAAAAAAAAGAAGTTAAGCTACATACCAAGTCCTAGAAGCTTCAGTAGCCACTGTGAAACTCAAAATGAAAGCAGACCAATCATAGAAAACTAAGAACAAGTTCAAACAAGTAAGGCCATAACTTATAAATTAGTAATCATTTTAACTATTAAACAATTATGTAAAATGAACTGAAACCATGAGAAGGTCTCGCTAAGAAGGTCTATTTGTTCAAGTTAAATGTCCAACTACCGCTGTTACATAAATTGCATTAGGCAGCCTATGTCTCTCCTACTAACATTTGCTACTGAGTTTCACAGTGGCTACTGAATTATCAGGTACTGACAGAGGAGGCAGTTGTCAAAGTATTTGCTTCAACTTAATGGTACTGGAAATGTCTAGTGGCAAGCTCAGGACCAAGGTTTCCTTTGTCTACTAACATTTTGTTGTTCATGCGTTTATATTTCACATTTCTCTTACTGCAAAAGTTCTTCTGCATTCTGCTTATCTATAAACTATGATACAATAAGAATATGAAAGCATTAAGCTACATGTAACTTTAAACTGCAAACATTAAAGCATTGAAATATCACTAGTATTATTGACTTCAAACGTGTGCTTCCCACTGTTAGTTCAATTAACAGTAAATACACATTTATATACAACAAATACTTGAAGCCTTTATGGGTTAAATTTGAATTCTTACCAGATATATTAACACTACACGTCAATTACGGAAGGGTCTTTTCCATTGTTGGCTAAATCTGAAGAAAAAAATTAAAATAATGAGTCGTGCAATAAATATAAGCATATCAACAACACTTATATACAACAAATATAGTAACAATATTATTACCTTGTTCAAGCTGCTCTATTTTCAAGATCTTCCTCAACACTAATATGTTATTTTAATTATTGCATTTGAATTAGAAGCCCCACTTTCAACCATCATCACCTTATCACTTTGTATATTTTTAGTCATGTATGAGTCACTGCAACAAGAAAAGAAAAGGAAAACAAGTTTAATTTCAGTTACTTATCATTCTCAGTATACAATATTCTTCCATATTACATTAGCAATCAAAAAAGGCTTAAACTCGGTCATATGACAAGGGAATGTTCCATTAATTAAACAGTGATTCACTGCATAAAATCGATTCAGAGCACTGCACAGCGAGCAAAAATGTATGAATTGCAAGGTAAAAAACGTAGATACCTGAAAAGAGCGGAGATGCATTGCACCCAATCAGAAATTCAGAATCCCAAAAAAGAAATTAAAAAAGAAAAAGAGAATTTGCCAGATCGAATCCTAACCTTTCTTCCTCCTTTTCCCCTTTTGTTTGTTCCTTTTCTTTGTTAGCTTAATCGTTAAGGTGATGCAATGCACCCAACAAATATCAAATGTATCTTTTCTTTGATTTTAAAGACATCAACAAGAAAAGAAACTTACCATCTGCTGACTGGTGCTCTGGCTATGGCGAGAGGGAGAGGCGTTAGGGTACTACTGGTGCTGGACTGCTTGAAGTCGACAAGAGGCGTTAGGTTTAGGCGTTAGGGTTTGTCTTACGCGTTAGAGAGTATAGACAAAGTACTTGAACTTTGGGGAAGGTTTTTTCTTTTATATATATATATATATATATATATATATATATATATATACACTTAACGGGTTAACGGATTATCC